CTTCCACTCCCACAGGGTGGTCGTATCAGGGGTTGGCAGTAATATGTACGAACTTGACGATGACGCGCGCCAGATTCTGCACTCCTCTCGGGTTCCTTTCGGGGCCTCCTGTTGGACCCCCACATGAGCAGCAGGACGATCGATTTACATGTGCAGGCCGCAGGACTTCACAAGTTCTGCTGCGTGTGATGTGCCAGTGCGGAGTCAACGATACGACGTCTACGTCTTGTACTTGTTATCAGGAAGGCGCCGTGCAGCTGACGTACAGCCCCACGTTTCGGTCACACCGCTTATGCCCGACAGACAGGTCGTGGTGATTTCTGTCGGCCCAGCCATACACCACATCAACGGTGACCTTACCAGGCAGAACACGCTAAACGAATGATCCGAACACATCAGGGCCAGACGAGTCTTGAACACGGGGGGGAGCATGTGAGGCTTGGAGTGCTGCACGGTGGTTGGAAGAGCACCCCCCCCCCCCACCACATTGCGTGGCAACGAGTATGGTTGGGGTGTCCATTGGGCCTCGGTGAAGCAGCAAGAGCAGCTCGAAATAGGAAGCCTTCTCTTGCATTCCAGTGTCCTTCTGGGTGACGTGCATATTGTTGTGGGGGCCTCAGGCTGGATCGAACATCCCTTGCCTGCGTGGTGGAGGGCCCAAGCGCCCCCAAATTTCGTGTGGGCCCCTTTGAGGGCCGTTGCCTCTTCGCCCATCACCACCACGATTGATCTCGACCAGTGCTGCTTCCAGGAGGGTCACCCTCGGGACTTCGGCAGAGCTCCTACTCGTATCGTAGCGCATCGGATGCCAGACCTGCATCATACCCTCAGAGCTCAGAGCTGTCAATGACGGTCGTTGCCCACATCCTACTCGATCAGATGCCGCGCTCATAGGAAAAACGGATGAGGGCACCTTCCGGACGGCGCACAAGAAAACGGACCCAGCAAACGTGCGTGCAGCTATTGCCCACGGTATCAAATCGGCCATGCCAACGTGGCATGCGAAACGCATCCCGACTCTACACGTGCTGCTCTCATGGACATTCTCGTGCCCGACAATGGGTGTGATGGGTTTTTCCAGGGGGGGGGTCAGGCTACGTGGGGACCAGGAAGGGGAAACGGCACCCCCGTGGGGATCCTGAGGTGAATAGGTGGGTGTCGTTCGCTTCCGCTCCCTCCCCTCCCTCCTCCTCCTCGAGCGGCGAGCAAGGTCTGTGCCGCCCACGCACTCTCTGACCACCTCCGCGGCCTTCAGCACGCGGAAGCCGACCACGACCATGCCAGACGTGCGCCTGCGCGCCCAGGCCTGGGCCGAGGACGCCTCCGAGGAGGCGGAGGCCGAGGCTGCCACCGCCGTTTTGCGGGGCGGTCGCGCACGACGTGGAGGCTCGGGGGCTGCTCCCCGCCTCCTCCTCCCCCTCTTCCTTTTCCTCCTCTTCCTCCTTCTCTTCCTCCTCCTCCTTCTCCTCCTCCATCTCCTCCTCCCCCTCCTCCTCCTCCCGTGTCGCATGTGTCTCTCACTGCTGAGTAGATCGCGCGTGTACGTGCCAACAGGGAGCAGGCCCGTCTCAGAAGACTTGAGCGTGTTGCCCAATGGCAAGGCAAGCTGGAATTCAAATATTGCGGGATTGTGCATGTGGCTGTGTATAGCAGCCACGGGTCTTTCCCCCCCTCCTTCTCAGCATTGCCAGCATGTGGGCACAACTTGACGTTCATGTCACCGTTCACCACCACCACCTGTCTCCATCCTCCCTGACTCCTCCCACCTCTATCTATTCTCCATCATCTCTCCTCCCTCCTCATCCGTCCTCCTTCTCCTCCTTCTCATTATGGTCCCTCCTCCTCCTCTTTCGCGAGGTCTCGACTGGATCCGCGTACACCTCCACTCCGCTGGCCCTCCCAAGAGCCCACGAGAGTGGCGACGGTAGCGAAATTCCCCCCCACCCACACCAGGAAGCCGCGAGGCCTCATCTGGATCTGCGTGCACCCCCATTTCACTGGACCTCCCAGGGGCGCACGAAAGTGGCGACGCTTGTGCAGTTCGCAGGCCCCCCACAGTGGCGACAAATGCGCGAGTGGCAGCCCCCCCTAGGGAGCTGCGAGATCTCGACTAGGTCCGCGTTCACCCCTTGCACGCTGGGCCTCCCAAAAGCGCACAAAGGTGGCGACCATAGCGCATTTGGCAGCCCCCCGTAGGGAGACGCGAAGTCCCGCTGGAATCCGCGTACGTACGCTCCCACCCTGCTGGGCGCCCCAGGAGCCCATCTACGTGAGGACAGTTACGCAAGTGCCCCCTCCCCCCCCCAGCGCCCCCCTCTCCCAGGGAGCCGCGAGGTCAACTTCTGACCCGCGTATGCCCCTGTTTCGCTGGGCCTCCTGGGAGCCCGCGAACATGGCTGTCGTTGTGCAGGTGGCGGCCGCCCAGGGAGCGAGAGAGTGGGGTTGGAGGAAGGAACAAAGGAAAAGCAGAGGGATGATGATGATGATGATGATGATGATGAGGAGGAGGAGGAGGAGAAGGAGGAGATGAGAAGAAGGATGATGATGATGATGATGATGATGATGATGATGATGATGCTGATGATGATGATGATGATGATGAGGAGGAGGAGGAGGAGGAGGAGGGAAGGTTGGAGCAGGTAGTACTCTACTCAAGACGAAGACCCAAGTAGAAAGAAGGCTGGGACCAATATGAGCACGGATAGGAGCGGGAGGGGTAGAGATAATGGAAGGAGAAGTCACGGGGAGGGCGAAGAAAGGGGAGGTCGGGGAGGTGGAGCATGCCTCACTCACTCATCTATGTGGTCGATGACCACGGGTGTGCAATGACGAACAGTGGTCGACCACCATATTCAGGGAGGGGGGAAGGTACCCGTGCGAGCGGACAACAACGGCTCTGGTGAATTAGCCCGAGGGCGCTTCGAAGTGCACCAAGCTGAAGCCGACGCAGAAGCCGAAACGCATAGAGATGGAAAGGGTCCGCTTTCAGGCTCGGTTGACAGGACATCTTGGGAAACCAAACGGTACCGATACCGCTACTCCCCGGACCTCTCCCAGGATGCGTTCTGACCAGGACTTCGAGGCGAGTCCAGCGGTGGCGACGAGGGCCTCACAGAAGGCCCAGAAAGTGGAACACGGGCGAAGGGCAGCGGTATGGGTACCTTCTCCTCCTCTGAGCATCGCTGAGCGGCGCTGCAGGCCAATGACTGTCCCCTCGACGGCCGACAGGCGGCCCAAGAGAGAGCTTCAGTGAGGTGAGCACCGGGCGGCCGAAGAGGTCACAAGACAGGGCCGAATGGCCCAAAGAGGCCCCACGAGGAGGTCCCAAGACAGCCCACTGTACAGTCGGGGCCCGACCACGGGAAACCTTCCACAAGAAACCCGACCCTGAGACCCCAGAACTTCCATTGATTTTTGGTGTGGGAACGCCACGCTTCCCACAGCAGAACCATCGAAACCCAAGAAACCCAGGGCACCATGGGGGCAAGCAGGGTGCTTCTTGGCTCGGCGGTGGGCAAACCTCCCTTTAGCAAACCTCCCCTAGTGAAAACGGCCTGGGACCGAAACCAACGGACCTGGACCCGCAAAGATGACGGCCGCGACGCCCTCTCGCGAACCGAAACCGGCCAATTCCTGAATCGACGTGTCAGGGTAGGAGGTCTGTCAACCTCCGATTGGCATGGGTCTCCACTGTATGCCCCACGCCATCAGATCGATGGAACGCTTCCCACAGCAGAACCATCGAAACCCACGAAACCCAGAGCACCCTGGAGGCAAGCAGGGTGCTTCTTGGCAGGGGTCTCCACTGTAGGCCCCACGCCATCAGATCCATGGAACAGCACGAGACACCGCAAGGCGCGTTCTCGCCGTGCCCGCACCACGTGCGTTTCGCGGCCAGTGGGGCGGGCGGTATCGGAAGACTCCCGAAAGTCCCCGGGAGCGCCCAGAGGGGACCCCGAAGGGCGCCAAGACGGCCTCAAGATTCCTTGGGAGTCCCGAAACGGTGCGGTGACGGACCGTGCGGTGACCTCGAAATCCCCCAAGACCTCACCGCATGGTCCGTCACCGCACGGTCTCCCGAGACGTCCTCGGAGAGGGACTCGAGTCCCAAAAACCGTGCGGTGACCCCGGATCCCCACCGACTCACCGCACGGTGTGGTCACCACCCCGTTTGGGGACCCCCGAATTCCCGAAGACGATCCCAGAGGGCTTCCGGAGGTCCCAACGACGCCCCGAGAGAGAGAGCCCCGTGAGGGTCACCAGGCACCCCAGCCAGGGCCCAAAGAGGCGACCCACCGGTCCAACGGTGCCCCGAGAGGCTCCAAAGCGCTCCAACAGACCTCAACAGGCTGTGAAGGCGATCCAAGAATAGAGGGCAAAAAATCCACCCCCAGACCAACCACCCCGACAAACGCAGCCATTTAATCAACACACCCAATGGAGGAATCGAACAGGGCAGGGCTGTGCAGTAAACGCCCAAGTCTGTTTAACTAACGCCACATATCGCGTCCGGGTGTTTTTTCCTCCTTTGAAAGAAGCCTCTAACCGCCTCCATGGACGCCCCAAAACGGCTCAGGCGGCCCCAGGAGTCCCTCAACCAGCAGCAGACAATCCGAAGAACCAGCTGCAGAGCCAGCAGCAACATCAACATTCAACATCCATACATCAACAACGAACAACAACAGTAGCGAACATCACCGGCAACGTGAAGGATAAGCAAATGCATCGGCAGCAGCAGCCACCAGCAGCAACAAGCATCAACACCATGAAGCAGCAAACAGCAACAGCAATTAGCTACGCCAGCAACAAAACAACAGCATGTAACAAGAGCAATTCTCTGCATGCAGCAGGGATGTGGGGAGAGGCAGCGAGGACGGGAGTGGCGGGATGGATAAAAGGGGGGAGGAGGGAGGGAGTGGTGGACGGAGGCAGAGAAAGAGACAGAGAGACAGAGAGGAAAAGGGTGGGGAGATGTGCAGGGGGGAAGAAGACGAGGAATACCCCTCTGTCCAAACTGTTGTCTACGAACCACAGGGATGGCGGGCTTGGCGGATGCGGCGAAAACCTGCTGGATCGCTGCCACTGAACAGGACCACTTTATCGACAGGCGGCGGCGGCGGCACTGTGCTACCTTATTGCCCCCAGCGTCAGCTCTAAGCGCCCGCCGGCGGGGCGACACGTGCCTGTCCAGGCTCCCTGGCAAGGTGGGCGGTGATGCGGGTGCGAGTCGAAGGGCAATGCCTGCTGCGATCGACGTGAAAGCGGCGCGGGCGAGGCGGTCAGAGGATGGCTATAGGAAGAAACAGTTGCACAAGTATGAACTTTCGGAGCTCCGCGCGGATTTCGTGGATCGGCGCTGGATCCCCCTCCCTGGTGCACGGAGCGCGCGAGGGGCGGCGCCGGAGGCGCCGCCAGGGAGTCCAGCGCCGATCCACGAAATCCGCGCGGAGCTTCGAAAGTTATGCTCATGCCGTCTTTCTTCTTCGAATGACCCCTCCTCCCGCACGACAGTGATAAGCATGGAATCGCCAGCACACTACTCGCTGTCGTCGCTGTCCACAGGCGGCTTGGCCTTCTTGGCCTTCTTGGCCGGCGGCTCTGCGGCCTCCTCGTTCGCAGCCTTCTTGGCCTTCTTCGCCGGAGGCGCCTCGTCCTCCTCCGAGTCGTCGAACGTCTGCTTCTTGCCTGTGCCCTCGACCATGGCCCCGTCCCTAGCGGCCATCTTCTCGCCGCTGAGGCCGCCCTTCTTGCCCTTTTTCCCCTTGCCCTTGTCCTTGCCCTTGCCCTTGCCGTCCTTGCCCTTGCCGTCCTTGTCCTTGCCCTTGGCAGGCCTGTCGCCCGCCTTGTTCACCTTGATCGTGCGACCTCCGTAGTCGGTCTCGTTGAATTCGAGCGCCTTCGTGACCGCCTCCTCGGACTTGTAGGTGATGAAGGCGATTCCTTTGGGCCGGCCCTCATCATTCATGGGCATGCTGAATCTGTCAATCTCGCCACACTCCTGGAAATCCTTCTTGAGCGTCTCCTCGTCCGCCGAGAAAGGAAGGCCGCCCACGAACACGGTAAGAGAGTCGTCGCGCTTGCCCTTGCCGTCCTTCCCCTTGCCCTTGTCTTTGCCTTTGCCCTTGTCGTCCTTGCCTTTGCCTTTCTCGCCTGCTCGGTTGACCTTCAGCGTTCGCCCGCCGTAGTCGTCTCCATCGAACTTCAACGCCTCCTTGATGGCGTCATCGGTCTCGAAGGTGATGAAGGCGATGCCCTTTGATTTGCCCTCCTCGTTCTTGGGCATGTTGAGTTTGACGATCGCGCCGCACTCGGAGAAGTCCTTCCTCAGCTGCTCTTCTGTGGCGCTGAATGGGAGGCCACCCACAAACACCGTCTTATCCTCGGACGCCTTGCTGCCAGTGCCCGAAACGTCCAACTTTGGCTTCGGCTTGGGAGGCGCCTCGTCCTCGTCTTCATCGTCATCAGAGTCGTCTTTCGATGTGGCCTTGGCCTTGGCCTTCGCTTTTGCCTTTGATTTCGGAGCTGGCTCCTCGTCGTCACTGTCGTCGTCGTCATCGTCCGCAGGCTTGGCTGCGGCCTTCGCCTTTGCTTTCGCCTTGGGAGCCGGCTCGTCACTGTCGTCGTCGCTGTCGTCGGCGGGCTTGGCTGCGGGCTTCGCCTTTGCCTTTGCTTTTGCCTTCGGAGCCGGCTCCTCGTCACTGTCGTCGTCGCTGTCGTCGGCGGGCTTGGCTGCGGGCTTCGCCTTTGCCTTCGCCTTGGCCTTCGGAGCGGGCTGGTCGTCGGAGTCGCTGTCATCGTCCGCAGGCTTGGCTGCGGGCTTAGCCTTCGCCTTGGCCTTCGGAGCGGGCTGGTCGTCGGAGTCGCTGTCGTCGTCCGCAGGCTTGGCTGCGGGCTTAGCCTTCGCTTTTGCCTTTGGAGCTGGGTCGTCGTCGCCAGAGTCACTATCGTCGTCGTCCGCAGGCTTGGCTTCAGGCTTCGCCTTTGCTTTTGCCTTAGCCTTCGGAGCTGGCTCGTCGTCACTGTCGTCGTCGGAATCCGCCGACCCCTTGGGGTTCATCGGCGTGTGAGATGTTCCCCCTACCCAAACCCTCACCTGGGAGCTCGTCAGGTCGATTTGGAAGGGGGGTGGGGGGTCCCCGGGGAACAGCTGGAAGGATCACGGGGGGACAGAGGGCTCCAAAACAAGACAAGAGAGTACCAAGAGGCCCTCTGGACGGTCCAAGAGAACCTCAAGCCGCCGAAAGATCTATCCAAAAAACCCATGCTGGCCTCCAGACGGCCCAAATGGCCCCCAAGACGCCCCCCAAACCCGCAAGAGGCGCCTCAAGACGGCCTCAACGATCAAAATTCGCCCATGTCCATAGGAAGCATGCATGTTTAGCACGTTCGCCTCTTGTACGTTCACAACGTCCAAGGCAGCCCGAGAAGCCTCCTGGATCGCCCCAAGACGGCCCAAGAGGCCCCCAAGAGGACTCCAACACAACCCAAGAGGGTCCCAAGGCCACTCAAGAAGCCTGAGGACAGCCCCAAGAGGGGAACCCGAACGAACATTCGAGCCTTCGACACCAAACCGTCCCCAGCTGCTCCAAGAAGCCCCCAACAGGCTCTCAGGGAGATCCGAGAGGCCCGAAAAAAGCTCCCAAGAGGCCTCCAGGAGGCCCCCAAGGGGTTCAAAAACTGCTTCCCAAACGCCCCCGAGACGCCTCCCACGAGACCCCGTCTGCCATCCGCGTTGCTTCAGACCCGCAGCCCAGGCACGGTGGCGGGATGTGCCGAAGGCCATTCGATCCGCCGCCCCCTGTCGATTCGTCGCAGGGGTGCCTGGTGTGTTGGACCCTCTCGGTCTTGGTTTTGGTTCTTTTTCCAAAAGAACTCCCCCTGGGGCTCCGGCGCGTCCCGCCGGCCACCCGGAAAATCGCTCCGTCGTCGCCAAAAACGGCCGTTTCGCTTGGGACATCCTCAAAACATCGCGAAGATGGCCCAAGATGTCCTGCAAGATGCCTCCAAGACAGCCAAGATGGCCTCCAAAACGGCTAAGATGGCCCCAAGATAAATCCAAGACGGCCCAAGATGGCCTCAATATTGTCTAAGACTGCCCAGAAGGCCCGCAAGAGGCCTCCGAAAGAGTCAAAATGGCCTCCAGGCGGCCAAGATGACCTTCAAGATGCCCACGTGTTCCCCGAAGGCTTTCCAAACCGATTCGGGGAACACATGGTCCGATAGCTTGGCAGGTCTGGCCTCAACGTTCGGCCACATAGGCGCTTCCACAAAGGCAGGGGGCGGCGGTGATTCGCCGTAGGCGTCTTCGATCCGCCGCCCCCTTTTAATTTATCAAAGGGGTGCCTGGCGTGCCGAACTATATGGTTTTGGTTTTGGTTCTTTTTCCAAAACAACTCGCCCTGGGGCTTCGTCACGTCCCGCCGGCCACCCGGAAAACCCACCTGTCGTCGCCTTTCTTGCCCCAAGATGGCCCAAGATGGTCCCAAGACGGCCAAGATGGCCCAGGATGGCCTCCAAGATGCCTCCAAGACAGCCAAGATGGCCTCCAAGACGGCTAAGATGGCCCCAATATTCATCCAAGACGGCCCAAGATGGTCTCAATATTGTCTAAGACGGCCTAAACGGCCCGCAAGAAGCCTCCAAGACGGCCCAAGAGGCCTCCAAGAGGTCCTCCGGGAAGGCCCGACGAGGCCCAAATCATTGATTATCCTTAGGTTTTTGAAGGATTTTGGCATTTGCGCCTTTTCGGTTTTCCGACGGCCCAAGAGGCTCCATAGATCGCCCCAAGATCGCCCAAGAGGCCTCCAAGATGGCCCCATGACGGCCCAAGTGGCCTCCAAGACGGGCCCACGAGGGCCCAAGAGGCCTCCAAGACGCCCAAGATGGCCTCCAAGACGGCCAAGATGGCCTCCAAGACGGCCCCGAAGCGCCCCAAGAGGGCCCCAAGTCGGCCCAGAAAGGCCCCCAAGACGGCTCCCAACGGCGTCAGACGGGCCAGGAGCCCACCAAGATGGCCGAAGGTGGCTCGAAGGCCAGAAGAGGCATAAGACATTGATTTTCCTAAGGTTGTTGACGGATTTTGACATTTGCTTCTTTTCGGCCTTCCGACGGCCCGAGACGGCCCAAGAGCCCCCAAAGATCGCCGAAAGATCGCCCAAGAGGCCTCCAAGATGGCCCCAGAACGGCCCAAGAGGACCCCAAGACGGCCCCAAGAGGCCCCCAAGACGGCACAGGAGGCTTTTAAGACGCCCAAGATGGCCTCCAAGACGGCCCTGGAGCATTCCAAGATGGCCACAAGTCGGCCCATAGAGGCCCCCCAAACGGCTTCCGACGGCGTCAGACGGACCAGGAGCCCACCAAGACGGCCGAACATGGCCCTAAGATGGCCCAAGACTGCCCAAGAGGCCTCCAAGAGAGCCTCCAGGAAGGCCCGAAAAAGCCAAAATCATGTATTTCCCATGCGTTTTTGAAGGATTGTGGCTTTTGCTTTTTTTCTGCCTTCCGACGGCCCGAGACGGCTCAAGTGCCCCCAAAGATCGCCCAAGAGGCCCAAGACACGGCTCCAAGATGGCCCCATGACGGCCCAAGAGGCCCCCAAGACGCTCAAGATGGCCTCCAAGACGGCCCAAGAGCCCTCCAAGACGTCCTCCAAGAAGGCCCGAAAGGGTCGAAGTGGCCTCCAGACGGCCAAGATGACCTTCAAGATGCCCACGTGTTCCCCGAAGGCTTTCCAAACCGATTCGGGGAACACATGATCTGATAGCTTGGCAGGTCTGGCCTCAACGTTCGGCCACATAGGCGCTTCCAAAAAGGCAGGGGGCGGCGGTGATTCGCCGTAGGCGTCTTAGATCCGCCGCCCCCGGTTGATTCATCACAGGGGTGCCTGGCGTGCTGAACCCTTTCGCTTTCGGTTTGGGTCCTTCGGCCCAGCCCACCGGTGTCCCGGAAGGTTCCCGAAAATCCGTTTGTCAATGCCTTTCTTGCTCCACGATGGCCTACGATGGCCTCCAAGACGGCCAAGATGGCCCAGGATGGCCTCCAAGATGCCTCAAAGACGGCCAAGATGGCCTCCAAGACGGCTAAGATGGCCCCAAGATGCACCCAAGACGGCCCAAAATGGCCTCAAGATGGTCCAAGACGGCCCAAAAGGCCCAGAAGAGGCCTCCAAGACGGCCCAAGAGCGCTCCAAGACGTCCTCCAGGAAGGCCCGGAAGGGCAAAAGTCATTGATCTTCATTAGGTGTTTGGAAGGATTTGGGCATTTTCTTCTTATCAGCTCTCCGACGGTCCAAGACGGCCCCAGAGGCCCCCAACATCGTCCCAAGAGCACCCAAGAGGCCTCCAAGATGGCCCCATGACAGCCCAAGAGGCCCCCAAGAGGGCCCCAAGAAGAGCCCAAGACGGCCAAATATGGCCCTGAAGACGCCGAAGATGGCCTCCAAGACGGCCAAGATGGCCTCCAAGATGCCTCCAAGACGGCCAAGAAGACCTCCAAGACAGCGAAGATGGTCTCAAGATGCACCCAAGACGGCCCCAGATGGCCTTAGACTGCCCAAAAGGCCCGCAAGAGGCATCCAAGACGGCCCAAGACCCCTCCAAGACGTCCTCCAGGAAGACCGACAGCTCGGAAACCACATGGTCGGAAACCACATGGTCCGATAGCTCGCCCGACTCCGTGTTCCCCGAAGGCTTGCGAAACCTACTCGGGGAACGCGTGGCCCGATAGCTTGGCCAATCTCAAACCCAACTTTCGGCCACGCAGGCGCTTCCAAAAAGGCAGGGGGCGGCGGTGATTCGCCGTAGGCGTCTTCGATAATCAAAAAATCTCCCAGAAGTTTTTAAAGGGCGCCAAAGAGACCCTCAGGAGCAACACACAATAACCGCCAATCACCAGAGGGGTCGGCGGTGTCGCGTGAGCCTAAGAATCATCGGCAAGCTTAGCTGCCGGCTTCGCCTTTGCCTTTGCCTTGGCCTTCGGAGCGGGCTCGTCGTCGGAGTCGCTGTCGTCGTCCACAGGCTTAGCTGCGGGGGTAGCCTTTGCTTTCGCCTTTGCTTTCGGCGGCGGCTCGTCATCGTCATCGTCACTGTCGTCGTCATCATCCGCAGGCTTGGCTGCGGCCTTTGCCTTTGCTTTCGCCTTGGGAGCCGGCTCGTCACTGTCGTCGTCGCTGTCGTCGGCGGGCTTGGCTGCGGGCTTCGCCTTTGCCTTGGCTTTTGCCTTCGGAGCCGGCTCCTCGTCACTGTCGTCGTCGCTGTCGTCGGCGGGCTTGGCTGCGGGCTTCGCCTTTGCCTTGGCTTTTGCCTTCGGAGCCGGCTCCTCGTCACTGTCGTCGTCGCTGTCGTCGGCGGGCTTGGCTGCGGGCTTCGCCTTTGCCTTGGCTTTTGCCTTCGGAGCCGGCTCCTCGTCACTGTCGTCGTCGCTGTCGTCGGCGGGCTTGGCTGCGGGCTTCGCCTTTGCCTTGGCTTTTGCCTTCGGAGCCGGCTCCTCGTCACTGTCGTCGTCGCTGTCGTCGGCGGGCTTGGCTGCGGGCTTCGCCTTTGCCTTGGCTTTTGCCTTCGGAGCCGGCTCCTCGTCACTGTCGTCGTCGCTGTCGTCGGCGGGCTTGGCTGCGGGCTTCGCCTTTGCCTTCGCCTTTGCTTTCGGAGGCGGCTCATCATCGTCTTCATCACTGTCGTCGTCATCGTCCGCAGGCTTGGCTGCGGGCTTCGCCTTTGCCTTTGCCTTCGCCTTCGGAGCTGGTTCGTCCTCCGACTCGCTGTCGTCCGCCGGCTTGGCTGCCAGCTTGGCCTGGGCCTTGGCTTTCGGAGGTGGCTTGTCGTCGTCGTTGTCGGAGTCACTGTCGTCGTCGTCTGCAGGCTTGGCTGCAGGCTTCGCCTTCGCCTTCGCCTTAGCCTTTGGGGCAGCTCCATCCTCGGTGGACTCGTCATCCGAGTCTGCCGCTGCGGCCTTCTTGGCGGCTGCGGGCTTTGCCTTGGCCTTTGCTTTGGGCGCTGGCTCGTCGTCCGACGAACCGCCGTTGTCGTCCTCGTCCATGGGCACCACCTTCTTCAATTCCTTCAGCTTGGCCTTGGCTTGTCTGACCGCCTCAAAAGACGTCATCTCCTCCTCTCCATTCTTCGCCTTGGTCTTCTTGTCAGCCTTTCCCATCGCTTGCCTGTGGCGCTGGTGCGTGTGTAACACCAGCGGCTGATGCAGAGCAGCAGAAGGGAAGCTGTGCCTTCTCGGAGAAGGGCGCTGGGCGATCCGCCTCTTGAGCCATGACGGTGCGGAAGAGGAGGGGGGGAGATCCAGATCTCCGACGTCGTGATTCTTGATAGTTGTAATTCGAGGGCCGTAGAACTCCCGACCCCTGACTGGGGACGGCTTTTCGCCGCGGCTCGCTCTGTTATGGTCCCGCATCCAAGAAATGCGACCCCTGGAGGGTGACTTTTCGAAGACGCTGGAGGTCTGGGGAAGGGACGGCGGAGAAGGGTTGGGGTAGGAGCAAGAGGAACGCCACATACTTACTGCCCCCCTCGACGAAATTCGGCTCGGCAATTACGTGTAGAGGGAAGCCCAAAGAAGTGACTGCCCCGTCCGCAAAAGTCCACCGTCGTTTCTCGAATCGTGTCCAGGATCAGCTCCAAGGGCTCCTAACTTCGCGCTTCGCGCTGCGCGAAGCGCGAACAACTTCGCGCTCTCGCGCCGCCCCCAAAAGGGAGAAGAGGAGGATGAGGAGGAATCGGAGCCGAGCCGCGAAGCACGAAGCGGGAATAACTTCGCGCCCTCGAGGGCGCCCTTGAGGATCAGCACAAACCTACGCAAATGCACTTCTTTCGTTTTCGCCTGTTTGGGCCTCCCAGTGAGCTGCCACGGCAAGACTCCTCGGGAGCATGGTCGGAACGCGCTCCGGGAGAGCTCCGGGGAATAGCGGTATCGGTAGTTCCTGTTCCCTAGTGCAAGGGCTCCCAACTTCGCGCTTCGCGCTGTGCGAAGTGCGAATAACTTCGCGCTCTCGCGCCGCCTCCCAGGGGAGAAGGGGAGGACGAGGAGGAATCGGAGCCAAACTGCGAAGCGCGAATAACTTCGCGCATTCGAGGGCGCCCTTGCCTAGAATGTCGGGGAGAGCAAGGGGCACGTGATCTTAGCGCAATTTTGCAGGAGGGTGCGAGTTCGGCTCAGCGGCTTCACGCACGTCTGGTCGAGATGTGTAGCTGTGGAGAGCTGGGGGGCGTCCTAGACCGTTCAGGCGACGCTCACTTAGCACTCAATATCAATACCAGAATGCGAAGAGCCCGCCGCTACGATTACAGCTCAACGTTTGTGAAACACAGCACGACGGTTTGTTTTTTTCTGATACGCCACATGCCCCGCCTCCGAATCTGAACACTCGCTGCAGTAGCACAAACCTCACACACGATGTTCAACACTTGTAAGTCATCGGCAACCATTAAGCCCCCCTGGGACGACTGACCGATGCGCATTCACAATTTTTGGTTGCAAGCAATCAACCAAAGGTGTGAACATGTAGTGAATCTGCTTGACCCACTACTTACTGAACAGTCGAATTCGCATTTCAGAAAGGCGGCACAGCTAACCTGATAGATGTACACACAAGTCTGTCATCCATTAGGGCATTTCCGAAGCAGGGGAATATGGGCTGCGTGTTTGTCCAAATTGGTGGTGTTCATGACGTCTGGCGTGGTTCAACCGTTGATTGCTTTCTTGGACGGGATTGTATGTTGATGCCGCCAGTCGGGGAGCGTTCTACTTCACTTATCGTTTGAGCCATCGTACTCCGAGCTGTTCAACATGCATGGGGGGACCACATTTTGGGGCACACGTCGGTCGGTAGAAATGAATAGAAACATGAAAGTAGGAAGGCGTTGAAGTAGCTTGGGCTTCCGCATGCCCCCCCGAAGAGGAGGGGAGAGGGAAAACCGCTCGACTCTTGAAAGAGGAAGGCGCCTAAAATAGATTGGGATCTGCTGAGAACCCACGAATACCTACTTTCAACGACCGGCGTGCATGGATGGGCTGTCCTTTGCGGGGCGTAGGGGTTCGATCACATACTAGGGCAGGTTCACTGCAAGTGGGGCTTGGTGCGCGTGGAGGGGAAGGGGGGACAGAACGGGCCGCTGGGCGGGGTGGCATGTGAGTGTAGGGTGCTTACGGAACAATTTGAATTGCATATCCATCCTTTCTGCTGGGAGGCTCTCCATATCTTACCCGAACTCTAAGAAGCATGTACGGCCAGAAACACAGGTGTGTGCATACATAGGTATGTTTAGATATATAGATAGAGTCATGTCTGTGTAATACCTGTGTAAACATGGATATGTATGTAAAGGCTGCGTTGGCGCTTCGCGTCATGCACCTTGGTCCTTGAAGTTTGGGATACAGGCAGAAGGATAGGAAGGAAACACATACAATGTAGCGATATCCCCTTGTTTCCCTTTCCGACATCTTCGTTAAACTGATGTTGTTATTATCCGTCGTTCCTGTTTCCTCTTCTTTCTCGCCCTTCCATGCAAGACGTCCATGCTCCTCGGCTCTTTTTGCGGATGCTCCTCCTTGGAGAGCCTCTTGGGGGCCTAAGGAATGAAGGGCTTCTTGGGGCCTTCTACAGGCCTCGTGGGCACCTTGTGGGGGCCTCTGGAGGCTTCCTCGGGGCACCCTCCTTCCAACAGCGGTCTCTCTGAACGACGGGGTCGCGATTTGGAATGCTTCGGGGGGGAGCGTCTTGGGGTCATATTGGGCCGTCATGGGGCTCTCTTCGGGCCATCTTGAAACCCTGGTGGGCCGCCTTGAAGCTCTCTTGGACTGCCTGGAAGCCTCCTTGGGTAGGTGTGGGGCGAATTTCGGGCCTCCTGGGCGATCTAGAAATCATGAGCAAACGTGCAACACCCAAAAAGAAAAAGGCCCACACACGGAGTGGTCCCGTTCAGTCCGGTCCCGGCACGGGGATAACATCCAATCTGTTCAGCCTCGTAGTTTCGAAAACGCCCGAGGCGGCCACAGGCTGCCGCCAGTCGAATATCTGGAAGCGCTGGCCAGACAAAGCGGCCACCGACCAAAAAAGAGAAGCCAAACGAGGTCCCCTAGTGCAAGAACCGCGTCAGGGAACAAATCCACTGGCCAGAACCACCCCGTCGGCGCGACGTCGCAGTAGTTTTCCCCGTCACAATCGACACTGCCGTCGTGAAAAGCAAAGCCGTAGACGTCGTCGCCGTCGCGGTCGTTGGGGCCATCTTCGTCGCCTCCGCAGCCGTCGTCGTCGTCGTCGTCGTCGTCGTCGTCGTCGCCGAAGTTGTTGTCACCGAGGCAATCGTCGTCGTCGTCCTCCTCCTCCTCCTTCATCGTCGCCGTCGCAGTCTTCGACGTCGTAGTCGCCGTCCACGCCGCCGTCGCCCTGGGAGCACGACGGGTCACCCGAGCCCGTCGCAGCAACGTGTCCGCGGGAGAAGCCCTGGCCCTATCGTCCCTTCTCTTTTCCGCCGCCTGCTCCTCCTGCGCCTGCCTCTTCCTCCTCCTCGTCCTCCACGTCTTCCTCCTCCTCCTCCGCCGCCGCCACCACCTCCTCCTCCTCCTCCTCGTCCTCCTCCTCCTCCTCCGCCTCCTCCCCCTCCCCCTCCCCCTCCGCAATCACACAATATGAATACTACTCTCCTCTCTCCCCTGATGACGTCCGGAAAATATCCGCCCCCCCTCTACGTACTGTTTCTTACACACAGGATTCCCGGGAAACGGGTTTTCGCTTGTTTTTTCTTCAAAATGTTGCTCCCACTCCAGCGCTGGCCTCAAATTCGGACTTCCGCTCGTTCCGAATCGTGCTCTCGCTGCAGCGATGGCCTCATTTCCGCGCTTCCGATCGATCCGAATCGTGCTCCCGCTGCAGCGCTGGCCTTCCTTCGAAATAGGCCCCAAAAACTAAAAGGATGCCCCCCCGAAAAACCATCGGAAGTGATTACACAGTCGGTGTCGATTCGTTGATTTGTTGGGCTGGTTTGCTGGGCCGCAGAAGACCGCCCCCCACTCTGGGGCGTCGTCGCTTGCAGGAAGTAGCAAGCGGGAGCTACGTTTCTGCTTTGAGAAGGCGTCGTTGTAAACAGAGCCAGCGGGTGCACTCCTTCAGCCCCGCCTTGTGCGGAGCTTTTCGGGGAGCCTACGGAGCTAGACATGGAGCCACGATTCCAGACCGGCCCGGATCTCTCGAAAACGATCCACTTGAACCTGGCGCCATGCCATGACAGACTGTGCGGTGTTGTGTTATGCGCCACTATGCGATGCCACGCTGTGCGTTGCAACGCTTTGTGATGCAATGTTGCACTGCGCAGTGCCACGCCATGATATGGCATGCTACGCTTTGTCGTGCTCTTCTACGCCATGCCATGCCGTGCTCTACCATGCATCGCGTACACTCTCGCGGTCGTTGCCCCGCTCGACATCCGACTGTGCGAATGGAGAAGATATCTACGCCATGGTAAGGGATGGGAGGAGAAGGGTAGGACGTTAGATATGACGCGAAAACAGTTTGCTTGTCCCCCTCCCTCTCCCTCTCCTCCTCCTCCTCCGCGTCCTCCTCCTCCACCTCTTCCTCCTCCGCCTCCTCCTCCTCCTTCTCATCCTCCTCCCCCCCTCCTCCTCCCGATCCCCCTCTCCGCCCCCTCTCCTCCTCCTCTTCCTCCTCCTCCTCCTCCTCCTCCTCCTCCTCCAGGTGCCGGCGGCCTGGTTCTATGGAGCGGGCAGAAAACCCGAATCCCTCCTGAACCCGAAATGGTCCTTCTCTCAGCGGCTTCCCAGAGATCCGATGCTCCAAACAATTGGTGCGGCGTGATTTTGGCGATGCTCGGCCTCCGACGGCCCTCGCTGAGCCTCGGGACCGTCAAAAAACGACTCGGGGCGAAAAACCGGCCCCAGGGAAGCGGCCCAGACCTCTAGGGCCCGCGCCCCCCCAAACATTGGAGCGGCTGGACATCTGGGTTGACTATGCGGCGGGCTCGTGTCGTGATTAGTCGTTTCTGGTTTTCAAGAGCGACACGGAACTACTGTGCAACAGGTGCAGATCCTGTGGCATTGAACAGCTCCATAAGGGCCGAGAGAAGCCCTGCGCACATGCGGTTTCTGAGGCGCGGCATAGAAGTAGTTTGCCAACTGACATTGGCATATATCTTAAACCATATGTTTTAAAAGTAGGTATTCATCATCTCCTTGGAGCCTCTTGATCAGGTTTATCCTCGGTGAAAGTGAAGTAGGGGATGCAACCCTGTACGCCGTAAGCGCGGTATAGATGTCCGTTAAGCTTTGGCTGGCG